AGGGTAAAAATCCTAAGGGGTGGCCGGCCACAATGGATAAGGAAGAGGGAAATTTTTTGTTCAAAATATAAATAGGAGATAGAGATTTGATTCCTTTTTAAAGTTTGACTTCTACTCTTTAAATATGAGAATGATAGAAAATTGTGGACACAATTTTTGAAAACATTTTTTCTACCCTAACTGTTAGTGTGGCCGAAATTCTCAAAGGAAAAAGAGAGGAAAATTTTTTCCCTTAAAAAATTCCACATCGTGCGTGCATTGGTGTTTGTGAAAATTCGAGTGTTTTTGAAAACTGTTTTGTGTCACGTGTGCCCACACACACGTCTACGTGGAATCAAGGAATTGACGTGGAAAACTTTAGTTTTCTAAACACAAAGATTGGAGCAAGGATTGTTCGTGGTCAAAGAACTCAAGTTATCATACGAGTCGGCCTCCAGGTATTTTTCCTAATTAAGTTCTTGACATGCAAATTAATGTGTTTATTTATTCATGCATAAATTAATATAATTTATAGAGTATCTCAAAAGTTTTATGAAAATTTTTATTATACACGATCCGCCTCCCCGCCACGCTTCCACATCCGAATTTGATTCGGTTACCAACATATATGATCACCCTTTTGTATGATCTATATTATATATCTATTGATATATATGTCATTTTTCAACATTCACCTTTTGTTTCTCATTGCTCAAAAGAGCAAAGAATAATATTTTTCTTTTTTAGACGGTATAATTAAGTGACATGATGAGGGGTATTTCTACCAACAAATTAAGTACTTTTAAGCTTGAATATTTATAAGTCTTCAATCATTTTTGTTAGTTTAATGTCTTTTGTATGCTTTTTATAGGAATTAGAAATAAATGCGAACTTGCATGATCTTGCATGAAGAAAAGAAGAATATTTGCCCAACTTGTGAATCAATGGCAAGAGGAGGCGAAAGAGGATTTTAAGGCACAAAAGAGGAGGCTTTGGAATGCAAGAAAGCGGGCTACAGCGCGCAAAGGAAAGCGAAGTCAGAATGGGGCGCGCGCCCGCGCCCTGGCTTCCTGTGCGCCCTCGCCCTGGCCACCAGGCGCGCGTGCGCCCCACACCCAAGCGCGCACCTGCACGCCCAGTAGCCTACCCGCGCGCTGCAGCACGCCCAAAGACCTGCCCCGCACGACCCCTCTTCCAAAAATGCGCGCCGCAGCGCGTTTTCACGC